CTTTGAAACATTTTCATGACGGACTGAGGAAGCAAGGTCGGAAAACAGTCAAACGTGCCTTCTATTTCCGCGACAGAGGTAAGAACGCATGGTTGTATCAGATTTTTTTTTTAATTGAAGGTAGATACTTTTGTTTCGAATTCTTTTAGTTAAAATTTCCTCCTTCGAATGTTTCTCATCCGTCCGAACTTTCTCTAATTTCCGACAATGAAAGACGTTCCTGCAGTTAGGTGACGAGGATTGCTAAATTTTACTTTATTCTAGCGTGTATTAATTGTATTGCCGCTTCGTGTTGCTTAAAAAGTTATTAATCTGAGCTTGTTTGAACAAGTTACAGCTATCGAATTCACAAAAATTCGCAGGCAATACCTGGCGTTTACCTTGGACAAAATAAGTAACTCGGGAGAGTTAAAGGAATATGCAAATGATATCGATTTGATTCAGTGCAAGCGCTGTTGATCGAAACACTTTCAGTTTCGTTTGCGTGTCATGTGGAGCATGCACACAATCGTGTTTGGCACTAGCTTTCTTGTCGGGCTTATGTACGTATTATCTTAATTGGCTCCTGTATTTACGATGCATTTGAGCAAAAAGCGATAAACATTTTCAGAGTATTTCATGTGTTTATGTTTATCATTTTATACTGTAGTTTGAAAGTGATTTTTTCTTTTCGATAAACAGCTTAGATTGTCCTTCCAAACTGTACTGTTATACTGATTTCCTTGTTAAATATTGACAAGTTGATTTTTCTTCAAATTCAGCTAGTTATTTACTACAAGAGTCCTTTCAATTAACTGCATTCGAGTTTTAGGAATCCAATTCATCAACTGGTAATGATTGATTAGTGTCTGAGTGAAGTTTTACCTTTTGTCATCTGCTTATCAACATACGATCAGTCAATAATCATATCAACTGAATGTTTCCGATCAATTGTTTTTTTTTTATCAAAACTGGTTTAGTTCTGCATGAGGCTGCATGCATCCAAGTATGTGTTTGTTGATAATTTATGTTGTTATATGGGAAGGTAGTCTTGGGATAAATGTAAAGTTCTGATTGGTTCTTACTTGGTCAGGATTTTGCCACATAGACCATCATTGCACCATACAGAAAATCATAAAACATGTAAATTCATTGTAAACTAGTTTAGTCCAAGTGACATTGGTGCATGACAATTACCTTGCTCTCTTGAGTGGTACTGGGAAATATTGCCACCATGTCATTCCTTTTCTGTTACAACCTTGGGCCAATATACCTCTGTAAAGCCCTGGCAATCAGCTGGTTATATAGAAGTTTGTAGTGGTTTTTGTAAAAGCGATATACACTTACAGGCTATTTTGAATTCCAGTTCAATTGACTTCCTTGTTACTCCACATTTATTCATTTTTTTTGTACATGAAGACAGCCAGCAAAGATTATTTGATATTTAAAAAACAACCAGTCATGATTATTAGGAGAATTAAAGTTAGCATCAAAGACAAATCAATTTTGTGCACAGACAATGTAAATATGGAATAACTGAAAAAACAATTAGTTAAATATACATATACTAATAAAGCAAAAATGTCAGCACCTGTACCAAATTTAAATCCATTTCAACATACATCAGCATGCATAAATGTAAATATTTCACTTTCCTTCCCAAAATTTGGAAAGGCACACTAGTAAAAAATGAATGGGCATGAATGGGCATCAGCTCAACTGTAGGAAATTGAATAAATGAAATACATCTTTTATAAGTTTTGACCAGTAATCTCTATTTAAAAATCAAATAAGAAAATTTTACTTTGGTGTTGTAAAATTTGTTTTTTATGAGAAACGATTCAGCATAAACTCTCTCCTCTTGTGGAGACATGGTGGTCTTATGATTAGTGAGGTGGACCCATGGTCAAGAGGTCGGTCAGCATTAGATTCCATCCACCAAAACTACCTTGGTCAAGAGGGACTGAGATGGAATATTTAATGACTTGCAAAACATAACCGAAGATTCTCGGAAATCCCCAAGTGATGTAGCCGAACATCCGAAGCTGTAAATCCCATGATTCTTGAGGAACAAACAGAAACAGCATAGCGAGAAGTTTAAGTCGCGAACCATTGATGGTAGACATGCAGATAATATAGGATACGTAAATTCTGTTGATGAGGCGCATAAACTTATTGCGGAATTTGAAACAGGATTGACGACAAAGTTTTCTTTCTTTAAAGCTGTCAAAGGTTTCAGGAACACCATTGTATATATATATATATATTGATATAGCTCTTTGGCATTACAAAGCTTTGCTATCGCTATTGTGCATTCTCACTAGTTTATCTAGTTCAAGTTCTACCACAATTGTGGAATCATTCGGATTAATTTAATGCTTACCCCTCCTTCCTCGGACAGAAGTCACAAAATACTGGGGGAAGATGCATGAGATATTTAAGGAGCAAAAATTCGTTTTTACTGGTGTGCCTTTCCTAATTTTGGAAGGAAAGTGTTCAATTGCCAGCACGGCATAGATAGAACAGCTGGAGATTAAAAGAAACAAAAAGATGCAGAAGAAGTACTGTATATAATAATTTCTTTATATCCTCAACCTTTGTGTTTCTGTCAACTATGGCTTGCTAATTCAAAAGGTCAAATACATGAATGGGTTATATGACATTGATCTCAGAATACTTTTATGACAAACGTGATAACAGTTCAATCTTGACTAAATTGAAGATGGTTTAGAAGTTAACAATTATAAGAACTTTTCACTAACATATGCTGCTGACAAAGGAGAAAATATATGCAATTCTGCATTTTTTGCTTTCTATCAAGCAATTATATGTTGGCTCCTTATCACACTATGACACTTCCGTTTTGTCACATTCCAAAAAATAACTTGAGAAATACACTGTCACTCATCTTACACTGTTATATTTACCTATTACAGAAGGCTGGAAACAAAGATTTTGTTTTCAAGAAAATAAGATTTCTTGTCCAAGACACAAGGAAGTTTGACTGCAAAGCACAGATAAAAATGCGAGAATTTTTTTTTTTTTCAGAGAACAAGGTAGTTCTACTCATGTATAAACAGAACAAATCCAATTTAATAAATCAGATATGCGGCATGACTCCTTTTCTTCCATCCCCACTCAAAACAAGCAAACACACCTATAGAGGTTCCAGTCTGGTCTGCAAATGAAAAGGAGGAAGGTGATCACTGCAAAATTAAGCATACGGGTTCTTATTTATAACATATTGATTATTGTATACTGATATCTAGAAATTAAGGTTGCAAGTAGCAGCCAGCTGAGTTATAGTTTGAGTTTTATCAAGTCCATTACTTTGTTAAATTTAGAGTAACCTTGTCTTGAGAGAGGAAAATTGAGGAGCTGTAATATACTTATCATCAATTAGGGACCACAAAGAAAAATTTATTTATAGAGACTTTTGAAGGAGAGGGGTAAGACTTGTGACAAGCTGGCAGACATATAGATAAACTTTACTGCTAAATGGGTTACAATACAAAGTGCTCAGTATTTGGATCAGCTATGGCTCAACTTAAACTTTGCTTTAGCTTCAAGTTTAATCCTTTGTGGTTTCCTTTCTCTGTGTTTATTTTTCAAGTTATGTACACAGAAGAACACAAAAATGACAAGGAATGCTTTTGAATATCAAGAGGCTGGAATAAGCAAGAAACCAAAACTGAATTTTAAACAGTACAAAGTTAATTTGATCTTCCAATGTTATTTAATTTTAACCATAGAATTTGCTATTTAAATTTATCCCCTCCATTTTTCTGGGTATTGTGAGCAAAAACAAACAATTATCACAAAATGCATGGTATACAATGGTTTGATTCACCAATGTGGCTAAGGCCTTTCACTGTCTATCCATAAAAAGGGAAATAGTTTGTAAAATGTAAGACATTCTGCATCTTGAGTGTATACTTATTCATCCATGTGAAATTAAAGGTTACTTGAAATAAATGTGAAAGATTTATAGGGTTTTCAGACCCCTGATAACAATTACTAATGTGCTGATTTGTTGTACTTAAAGGTTATGATTTTAGCGGAAATAGTGGAAGAAATTTCTGGATCTTAAATTTTGTTGCAAATGTTTGTTTAAAACAGTTTAAGTCAGTTAAAAACTCTCCTGTTTCAAGATTACATGATTACCACACCAGAACCTTTTGTATTCTATATTATACACCATGTTATGATTATGGTTTCAATAATAAAAAGTGCTGACTCAAGAACTTTCCAAAATATCTCTACATACAAAGAAATAGATTGTGGTTATGTACTCCAAATAGCAGGTCACATCAGTCTTCTGTAAGGAAGAAGCAGAAATTTCTGTGGTGGTTTTGGTGGATGGAGAGAAACATCCACCAAAACCACTTTATTCTATGTGTTAGGAGTTATGATAATCATTATGAACGTTTGGTCGGTCAGCAATTGTGCACCATAAAAAATAATTAGCCAGAGCACTAACTGCTAATTAGTGGTATAAATCTTTTGTCTCCCTGAACATCTAACAGTGGCTATAGATAAAATTTAAAAAATATATTGTTGATGGTTTTGGTCAAAGTTTTGGTGGATGTGTAACAGCCGTCAATTCGATGTCAATTCCACGTTTTATTCGATCCGATCAACTACGCTCAGCACACCGTTCGAATACAATACCGTACAAGAAATCCTTACAAACAAGCAATTGTCTCTATCCGTAACCTTGAAAACTGCTGAAATATCCGTAATGCTTCCGTAATGTTCTATTCCTTCGATGCGAGACTAGTTAAACGATCCTTATCCGAGAAATAAAGGCGAAAATAACAAGCGATAAAAGCACATATATGCCGAGGTTTGACCTAGTGTCGAATGACAACACCTCGGCGCAGACTGGGCCTAGTGCACAGGACACCTAGCATTTACATGGCTCCCCTAAAATGCTTGTCATTTTAACCAAACAAATCTTACTCTAACTCGTTTAGAATACTAGAATTGCTAAGCGTTCTAGATATCCTGTTTCTGTACCATTACAGTTCCTCAGGCTCCTCGTCGGGGATTCCCGGTCTATCCTTAGGTGACTCTAGCAACAGCACAAGTTTATTGACTGGTCGATCCAGTACTGATCCAGTTCCGGTTTGAACAGTCACCGATCTGACTTGGCCTTCATCATCACGACGTGTGGTAAGCACTTTAGCCATAGGCCACTTATTCCTACAAGAATTGTTGTCCTTTAATAGAACAATGTCGGCTTCCGTGAAGTTTCTTCTCTTGTGTGTCCACTTTTGTCTCAACTGTAAGATCTGAAGATATTCTTTACTCCATCTATTCCAGAATTCGTTAGCAATATGCTGTACGCGCCTCCAGCGACGTTTGCAGTAAGTATCTTCTCGTTGAAACTTTCCTGGAGGGGGGAGAATGAGCTTGGTTTTACCAGTGAGAAGGGTACTTGGCGATAGTGGCAACGGTGAGAGCGGATCACTTAAGGTCTCGGTAGTCAGAGGACGACTGTTGACAACAGCTTCAGCTTCACATAACAAAGTTCGCAACGATTCGTCGTTTAAGCTGTGACCATGCTGTTTCATAAGTGCTGCCATGATGTTCCGCACGGACCGAATTTGTCGTTCCCAAACGCCTCCGAAATTACTTGCAGTAGCAGGATTTCTGATCCAATCAATGTTCTCCTTAAGCAACTCTGCCTTGATTTTCTCATCATCCATTTCTTGAAGTGCTGCCTTTAACTCGTTTTCGGCCCCAACAAAATTAGTCCCTTGGTCACTGCGAAGTTCTCTTATGGGTCCTCTACGACAGGTAAAGCGCCGTAATGCTTGTAAGAATGAATCTGTTTCCATGGGTGGGCTACTTCGATATGTACCGCACGACTGGCCAAGCAAGTAAATAGGGCTCCGTACCTTTTAACTTCTTTCCTGCCTTCTTTGACATACCACGGACCAAAGTAGTCCACTGCACAGTATGAAAACTGTGGCGCGGGTTCAACACGGGAACTTGGGAGGTTGGCCATTTTCTGTTCTCCAAAGGTACCACGGAGATGTCGACACGTGACGCACTTTGATATGAAGTGTCTGACCGCAGCATTTCCATTGATAATCCAGTAACCACTCGAACGAAGTTCGTTTAAGGTGAGACCTCTTCCGCTGTGGTGAGTTTTCTCATGGGCGTGACGGAGGACCAGCTCTGTAATATGACCAGCCTTCGGTAAGATGACAGGGTTCTTAAGACTGTCTGAGAGGTTAGCCTTCCTTATCCGTCCTCCAACTCTCAACATTCCGCTGGCATCCAGGTATGGGTCGAGGGCGTTAAGGCTGCTACTTTTCTTCAAAACTGCTTTCCTTTCCTTATCATGATGACGATCTTTAGGCACACTTCCGGTCTGGGTTTGGAAATCTCTCAGAATCTTGATTTCTTTATCAAAGTTATTCGCTTGCACCAGCTTGAGAATTTCTATTTCTGCTTGTTCAAGGTCTCTGACCATAAAGGAAGTAGCCGGGCAACCTTCACATTCACGGCTTCGTCCATTAACTTGAGGACCGTCAACAGTTACAGGTCTCTTGTCTGTTTTACTGGCTCTCATCTTGAGACGTCGTTTGTATTCCATACAAAGCGCAACTGCGCCCTTTAGGACTTGCCACTTGGAGAATCCTTTGAATCTGCTTAACATGTTTTCATGTTCTTCAATCACTGTCGCGTTAGCGGTAACCCCTTTAACGTCAGGAGAATTGTGGTCGACCTCTTTTTTCGTATGAGTCTTGTTGAGGCCAGTGATCTTCCGTCTGCCACAAGAAGTCTGGGCCCTTAATCCACTGTGACCTTTGCATAAACTCCTTAGCGTTCATCCCCTCGATGCTTCATCTGCTGGGTTGGATCCAGACTCCACGTAGCGCCACTGGTCTGGTGAAGTGTGGTCACGGATGAATTGCACTCTATTTGCAACATACACTTGGAATCTTCGAGATTCATTGTTGATGAACCCGAGGACAACCTTACTATCGGTCCAGTAGAAGTCTTGGAGTCCGCCATAGTCTAACTCTTCCTTTAGCATGCTTGCAACCCTTACTGAAACGGTAGCGGCAGTTAGTTCAAGTCTTGGAATAGTGACTGTCTTCAACGGTGCAACACGAGCTTTCCCCATAACAAGAGAACAATGAATTCTTCCGTTTTCATCAACCAGTCTGAGATAAGAACATTGTCCGTACCCGACTTGAGACGCATCTGACATATTATGTAGCTGAGCAGTGGCAATGCTTCCAAAATCAGGAGGCTGAAAGTTTCTTGGGATGTTCAGCTGCTCTAATAGCAGTAACTGACTTCTCCATCTTCCCCATTTGGCAAGAACTTCTCCCTCGATTGACTCGTCCCAGTCTCTTCCGTGACAGATCTCTTGAAGTATCTGCTTTCCAACAAGGACGACGGGCGCAATCAGCCCTAGAGGATCAAAGATCGAGCTTATAGTTGCCAGTATACCCCTACGGGTGCACGGCTTGTCCTTCAACTCTATTCTGAATTTGAATGCGTCCGATTCAATGCACCATTCTACACCCAAAGCTCTCTCTATTGGTAACTTGTCACTACCTAGGTCTAGGCCCTTGATCTCCTTAGCTCTGTCTTCAGCAGGTACTGACATCATCACCTTTCTACTGTTGCTGACAAATTTCGTTAGTTTGAACCCTCCCTTTGCACACATCTCTTTAACAGCTTGTACTAGTTCTACAGCGTCCTTCTCTGTCGGTACCGAACTCAGAGCATCATCGACGTAAAAGTTCTTCCTTAATGTTTCGGCAGCCTTTGCACCAAACTCTCTTTCACCGTCTTCGGCTGTACGTTTCAAGGCGAAGTTAGAACACCCTGGAGATGAACCAGCTCCAAAGAGGTGCACTGTCATGCAGTACTCTTGAGGCTCTTGAGTTAAATCTCCATTTGGCCACCATAAGAAGCGAAGGAAGTTCTGATCTTCCCTTGGAACCTTGACTTGAAAAAACATTTTCTCTATGTCAGCCATGAAGGCTACCTTCTCCTCTCTGAATCTTGTGAGCACCCCAGTGAGCTTGTTTGTTAGATCGGGCCCTTGCAATAGGTGGCCATTCAGCGATTCACCCTGGTAACGAGCTGAACAGTCAAATACTACGCGTATGCTGCCTGGTTTTTGGGGTGGTAAAACCCGTGGTGGTGAGGTAAGTACCAGGCCTTTTCTTCTTGATGGGGTAGCTCTTCAACCTTGACCTTTCGAGCATATCCCTTCTCTATGATTTCAGTCATGAATCTGACGTAGTCAGCACGATACCTTGCGTCGCCTTGGAGTCTCTTCTTAAGGCCGTGCAGGCGTTGCTCTGCTTGAGGACGGTTATTGGGTAGCTGTACATTCTTTTCTCTAAAGGGCAGAGGCATCTCGTAATGCATGTCATCTCTATGATGGATTCCATCTTCTACAATCTTCAGGAACTGACGGTCTTCTCTTGATAATGCGACTCCGTGCTCCCTTTCAGCAAAGTCCACCTCAAACATTCGGGAAACCACTTGAGGGGTTAGCCGCTCCTTAATCTCTGTCTTAGCAATGATGTACCCATTCACGTTATCCTCTGTGTTGCTCTTAAGAATCTGAATACGGTTACAATGTACTTGTTTACTGCTCTTTTGGTTAACAGGACCGTTTACGTGCCATCCTAGTAGTGATCTTACTGCATAGGGTTCATTCTCATTCCCGCAAACAATGTCTCTTGGTCGCACTGCACTAGGGCAATTTAGTCCGATCAGGAGTCCTATTTCTACGTCTTCCATGTAAGGAGGTAAGTGTTTCCTAACCATCTGCAAATGTGACCATCCTTGCAGCTCTTCGGGACGAGGAATCTCATCACGATCTGCTGGAATCCGTTGTCTGACGTAGGTTCTCGGTAGGGGTACGATAACGTCGTTTTCTTGAAAGTGGGAAGCCATTAGCCCATCTACCGCTTTAGTATCGACTTCTTGGGTACCATGCATAGTAGTGAGCAAAAGTTTGGTTTCACTTCCTTTAACACCAAGCCTTCTTAACGAGTCTTCCTTAATGAATGTTCCACCACTGGCATTATCAAGGAGGGCGTAAACACATATCTTATTGTTTGGATTGTCCTTGTGGTACAACCATACTGGGATAATACCCATAGCAACTGGTACATCACCGGCATCTGTCACATTGCAAATTGCAGTACACACGTTAACGACTCGCTCTTCCGTTTTCCTTTTACTGGCTTCCGATTTCTCATGTTGGCCGTTTCCACTTTCCATTTTCGCCTCTTCTGATTTCCAACTGTAATCATGGAGTGACGTTGGGTGTTTCTTATTGCAGATCTGACAGGTTCTTTTACTTTTGCAAAGCTTAGCAATGTGTTCACAACTATAGCAACCGAAGCATAAGCCTTTCTGTTTGATAAAGTTTCTCCGCTCCACTAGCGGTTTTTTAAGAAACTCAGCACATTCGTCCAGATGATGCGCCTTAGAGCACAATGTACAGCTGATGGGGTGAGAATTTCTTCCACCTGCATTCTTTCCTGCCAGGCCTGTTGCAAAGTTGGTACCCCTTCCTCTCTTGGGTTTGCGTTCGTTCTGTTTGTGGTACTTGTCAACTGCGTTCATCGGTTTACTTATGCCTTCCTCGGAATAGATTGGGTCTGTCGCTAAATCGGCTTGCTCTGATACAAATTGGCAAAAGTCATTAAAGCTAGCTGTCTGTCCCTTGACACTCCTAATCCTGCTAACTCTTTCAGTCCACTTACTACGTAGATATCGCGGCAGCCTTTCCCATAACTGGCGCATAACATTGGCCGTGTTCAAGTCGTTCATGTATTGCATGCCTGTCATGGCGTTCCTTGCTTGCTCAAGGACAATAGAAAATTCTTGTAACCCTGTTCCGTCGTTAGGCTTAACAGCGGGCCAGCTCGACAGCTTGGCGATGTATGCACTTGCAATCTTGTATGGGTCACCAAAATGTTTCTTCAAAAGCCGTCTAGCCTCCTTGTACGAATCTTCGCCTTTCGTTTGTAAACAACCCTTTATCAGTTCCTTGGCCTTTCCACTAGTGTATTGATCCAAGTAGTACAAGCGCTCATTAGAATCATCTACCTTGGATTCTATGAGAGTTTCAAAGGCTGTTATGAATGCTGGGTATGACATAACATCTCCCGAAAACGTAGGTGGCTTGTGACTAGGTAGGAGACTCCTAGCCTGTTGGGTAACAATCATTTCTGAAAGTTCAGCCTGCTTCCTTTGAATGTCAAGATAGTTTTGATCTAACCCTGTACCGTCCACAGAGCTTGAATCCTTTCCGAAACTGCACGTACATTCCCTTTTAACATGTGGTGGCTTATAGTCAGTGAGGGTTTCGTACTTGTCCTTATACTCTTCTTCCTTAATGGGGAACACTCTTTGGAACAAAGGGTCGGGCAGTTGGGTTCATACAAGCAGCACTGGCTAAAGCTGGGGTGGTTACAGGAGTGGTCGTTGAACCAACAATAGCTGAACTTTGGAACTTCACAGAAGGCACCCTTAGTGTAGCCTGATCGTTAGATTGTACTCCGGGTGAGATGGTAGTAGAAGTGAGTTTAACCTCAACATCTTCCAAGTTTTCATTCATTCCGTCAATATTTTGTTCCTTCTCGAATTTCTCATAAGTTTTTTCTTCTGCCTTTGCCTCTGCGATTTGCTGCCTAAGTTCAAGCTCTTCAGTAGCCATTTTTAATGCTTGTTTCTCTTTTAGAAATGATGCCTTAACCTCTAACGCTGCGGCTTTAGCTTTCGCTTCAATTAACTTTAACCTAGCAGATGTTGCCGAGGAAAGGGAGTGCCTTGAGCGACGAGATGACTTAGATTTCACTGAGTGTGTATCACGTAAACCGCCACGTAGCTTATCTGCATCATCCAAAAAGCCAATAATCCTTTGCTTTAGCTGGAGCACATCCTTATCGCGAGTGCCAAACCATTCAAGAGCTAATTTAATTTCATCATCATCATCTAAGGCCTTGAGATATGCGTCATGTGCTTCTTGCACTTTAACAAATAGCTGATCTAAATGAACAACTTCCGTACGCACTTGTTTTTCGTTCTCAAAATCCGTTAACAAAGGTGAGACTAAGTTAATCTGCTTAGTTAAATTAGCAAGTGCAGTTTTCCGTTTTTCCTTCAACTTTTGAATCTCAAATTGCCTACCCCTTTCTGTAGGAATCCGTTTTCGCACATCCATGTGAGTTTCTTGAGCCAATAAACCGGTCAGCGGCGATATCGCACGAGGTGACGAGCAGATTGTATCGAGATCCATATCGACTTCGCGCCAAGTGCAAAGCTTCTCTTCATCAGGGAGCTCCGTTTTCCCTTGTAAATCTTCTTCTTTGTCTCCTTCCATGTGATTCGTTTGTAGGTCAAACTGTAACAGCCGTCAATTCGATGTCAATTCCACGTTTTATTCGATCCGATCAACTACGCTCAGCACACCGTTCGAATACAATACCGTACAAGAAATCCTTACAAACAAGCAATTGTCTCTATCCGTAACCTTGAAAACTGCTGAAATATCCGTAATGCTTCCGTAATGTTCTATTCCTTCGATGCGAGACTAGTTAAACGATCCTT